GCGATAAGGGGCGGGGCTCCCCTAGGGCGCGCGCTCCGGGTGTTGGTTCCTTTGGCCCACTCGGTTTCGCTCTCGGTTTTATCGTGGGCGCTGTGGGGCACCCTTGGGTGTTCAGCACCCCGTGGCCGACGAGCCGCTGCTCCTCTCCCTCTTTCCTTGCTGCCTCCCACCTTGGTGCCCTCCTCATGCTGCCCTGGGCTCTCCTGCTGCTCTGCTTGCCCATCAGCAGGATTCTGGGCTGGCTGCACCCTCAGCACAGCTCCCCAGGAGGTGGCAGAGCCCTGCGGCCCTCTGTGCATTCCCTTTGAGGTGACACCAGATGGGATGAGTTTTCCAGCCAAAGCTGGTGGCCAGGACCCATCGTTCCTGGGTTCCTGCCAATGCCAGGTGTGCCTGCTGCTCCTTGCTGCCTTCCTGGCTCTCCTGGGGCTCGTCCCCACAGGTGGGGACTGACATCCTCCCCGGGCCGGGTGCCACAGGATCCTGGGCTGCTTCCCACCTTCTTGCCTCCCCGCAGGGCCCTTGTTGCTGGCACCCTGTGGTGCTCAGGGGATCCCAGCGCCACTGTCCCCAGGTCCGGGAGAGCCCTGCTGCCACCTCACCTCCACTCCCAAGAGGCACGGAGTGATGGGAGCAGGGGAACATGCATGGTGACCTATGGGATGCACTTGGGTCCACAGGGGGTGAGGGGATCCGGCCTGGATCTGGCTTCCATGGAGGAGCAGAGGGTGCCAGAGTGGCCAGAGAGGAGGCAGGACCGAGGTCCTGCCTGCAGCGGGACCGGTATTTGGGGGCTTCCTTTCCATGCAGGAGGTGCGAAATGCAGCTGCTGTGGGATGAGCTGAACGGACTGGAGCTGAGCTACCCACGAGGTGAGAGCCACTGAAGCACTGGGGGTGTCCCCTGGGGTTCCCATGGCCTGGGATTCTGCCACCAAGTGCTTGAGAGCATCATCAGAAATGCAGCGAAGGCTCAGCTGACTTTTAGGGGTGGAGGTCATTCTTGGGAGGGGGTCAGTTATCCACGAGTCAGGTGTGGGACAGTGTTCTGGAGCCCCAGGATGTTCCCATTCCATGCCCAGGGATACCAGCACAGGGGGAGGTGTCACTCTAGGGTGACTCCATCCTTCACCAGGGACAGCGATGTGAGGTGACCTGTCACCAGCCGTGCAATGACTTGCAGAGCCCTCATGCCTGGAGCAGCTCCTCAAAGTGACAGGGAACCCCAGGTCAGCGGGAGCAGTGTCGCTGGTCTCCAGCAGCCAGAGGACTAAGCCAAGCTCTGCCGCTTTGCCCGGGGGTCCTGTCACACGCAGGAGCCTTTGTAGGGTGAGCCTGAGTTGGGTCAGGCCCGAGGTGGCCAAGAACGGGAAGATGCTGCGATGTCCTTTTGGTGTCCCTGTGCCATCCCCTTGAGGCTAGCCATGTCCTGCTGTTCCTTTCCTTGCCACGTGACGAGCACCTTTCCTCTTAGCTCCCAGCTCCCTGGTATGTCCATCTACGGATGAGTCTTGCCCTCCTGCAGTGTTTGGAGGAGGAGGAGGTTTGGGTGGTCCCTTGCGTGGAAGGATGTACCCATCCTGTCCATGCAGGACCCACATCTCCTGGGGTTGGGGGAAACAGGCACCTCCTGGGGATGGGGGAAATGGATGCACCCTCCTGCGGTGCAGGAGGGCCATGGGGATGAAAATGCTCCCTGCCAAACCCTCTTCACACCCAGATGACACTGGAGACGCGCCCAGGAACTGGGCACCTTTGGGAGGCCAAACCCTACAGCCCAAGCCAGCATCCAGCCAGCAACATGTGAGTACCAAGTGCAGGGAACATCTCTGCTCCGGGGGATGCACTAGGACCGATGCCACCCTATGAGCACCCCAGGGTGCAAGAAGGGCTCCTGGCAGCTCAGACACTGACTCCTCCCCAGGTCTTCACTGTCCCCACGGCTTCCATGCCAGGGGGTCACCAGAGCTGGGCAGTGGTGCTGCAAAAGGTCTGTCCCTGGGCAGGTCTTCTGCTGGTTCCATGGCTGCAGGCGGATGTTGTCTCCCCAGACCTGACTCCTTCCCCTTCCTCATCTCTTCTAGAGCACAAGGACAAGGTGCCAGGGTGAGTGGAATATGACATGGCCTCACTTCGTGCCCACACTGCCCTTGCTGGACTGATGCCGCTTGCCTGCCCAGCAGTTTTTAATCTTATTTCTATTTTAATAAATGCTGTTATTACAGCAAGGGACCCGAATTGTTTGTGCCTAGATGGGGATTCACCCTTACCCTACGCATCCACCGTGAGCATCCCAAGGGGGACCTGCATGGTTCTTATTGATGCTGTAGCTGCTGCACTGGGACACACAAGGAAAGCAATAGCGATGGCCCTGCTGCACCTCCAGTGCTGGAAGAAACATGATTTCCATTTATTAAACCTAATAACATGTCATTAGCAGCATCGCCCATTACCAGGTCAGCAGGAGCTGCCAGGGTCCCCCTTGCAAAGGGGGTGCAGCAAAGGCAGCTGCTGCCCTTCAGACCAGACTGGGGATTTGGCTGCCACCACCTTGTCCCCAAGGTCCCTCCTGGGGCTGCCAGCAGCTTTGGGGACTCCTGGGTACTCTCAGTCTTCCCCACCCTGCTGCTGCCCTGGCCAGAGGCTATGCATCCCCCATGAGCTGCATTTGCAGCAGCAAGTAGGAACATCAGGGCAGCTCTGGGCTACTCGAGCAGGACATTTTCCTTGCTTTCCTAAACAAGGTGCTACTTCTAACTCTCTTCTTGTTTGTTTTGGGATTTTTTTTCTCCCTCCCACCCCCCAGCAGGGTTTGTCACAGCTGCTGCCCCAGGCCAGCTCTGCACCCATGCACGAACCGCAGGGCACAGTGTTCCCTGCTCACCCTAACCGCTATTGAGCATACATGGGATCCCATCCCCATGTGCTCTGGAAATGCTGCCAGCTCCCACCACCACTAAGCCACTGTCCTCTGCCGCAGCAAAGGACAACCCTGAGTCGAAGGTGACATGTGTGTCGCCGGTGTCACAGTGGCCGTGCTGTGCCTGTCACTTCCTCGCGTTGGCGTAGTTGGCAGTGAACCAGGCGCAGGTCTCCTTCACAGCTAGGGAGGAAGAGGAAAAGCCATTGGTGACCTGTCCTCCTGGCATGGCTGGGGACAGGGAGGGGGCATGGCCAAGCCTGAGCTGCATGATGGACCCAACTGGTCTCCCCAAGGAGGGTTGCCAGGGGTTGTGCTCCATTAATGGTGGCAGTCTGGGGCCTGGTGGATTCCCCTTTTTACCAGGGCGTCCCTAAGTGCTGCTGGGGCCACCTCACCTTGTTTGAAGGGAGTAAACTGAAAGCCGGGCAGGCAGCGCCTCAATTTGCCATTGCTGGCCGTCTTCTTGAACTGCCCATCAGCCTTGGTCGCATCAAACTGGCCACAGGAGGCGTTAAGGGAAACCAAGCGGGTGGTGTTGAGGCCAAGCAGTGAGGTCTCCCGTGAGGACAGTAAGAGGGAGGTTTGAGGTGCTGCTCTGCCCAGGTCATGGGTGTTGGACACCCCTGGGGTGGCACCATTGCCCCAAACCCCATAGCAACCCTGAGGAACAGGCTCCTGAGCGGTGTCTGCAAGTGGTAAAGGATACAACAAGCTCTCCCTTGAAGTCCATGGCTTCCGCGATCGTCTCCGCTGCCTCCTTGATGGAAACCTCATCTTCTTCTCCGACTGCAGGGAAGGGTGGGAGCTGAGGTCGCTGCCAGCCCTGCAGGGCTCACGGTCCGGAGGAAGGGACCGAGGGCAGCTCGCTCTTACCTGACAAAATGATGGGCTCTATCTCATCGTATTCCCGCAGGACATGAAGGAAGAGTCGAGCCAGGTCCTGCAAAGAGGCACAGGGCTGCTGTGGGGGGAAACCTGGCTCGAATGGCAAATCCCTATTGCCCCAAGGACTGTCGCCTCCTGCAGACCCCAGGTTCCCTCCCATCCCTGCTGCAGAAAAAAAGCGCTCCCCCTTTTCCTGCCCCCATACATCCCATGACTCTGGAGCCGTGATGCAGCCAGAGGAGGCACATACCAGGGAGTAGATGAACTGTCTCCGAGGTTTTCCTGTGCCCCAAACAGTCAGCGGGGAGCCGGTCTCTATGGGAGGATGGAGAAGGAGGCCATGAGCAGCAGAGCCCCCAAAAGCAACTACCCTGGGGCACCTAATAGAGCAGTAGGACTGGAGAAAGTTGTCCCAGATTCAGGAAAAACCCTTCTAAATCCAAATTAGTAATTAAAGGAAAGCCCATTGTGTCCATCAGGCTCTGCCTGGGCCAAACTAGGCTGCCATCCTCTCTGGAAAGGAGCAGGGACTCAGAACATCAACCGCATCCAGGGCAAAGTCAACCAGAGCGGAGCAGTGGCCTGGGGACAACCAAGGGAGCCCCTGACTTCCTTACCCACCTTCCCACAGTCCTAGGAGGGGCCCAGGGGGCTGCTGTGCCACTCACGTTTGGCCAAGTAGACCTTGTGGATGAGGCCTGGCAGGACATGGCCATCCTCAATGTTGAAGTTGTCATGGGGCCCGAAGACGTTGGTGGGGATGACGGCGGTGAAACAGCAGCCATGCTGCTCAAAATAGGCCCTGGACGTGAGCAGAGGGTGAGGGGGTGTCCCGCGAGGAGCAACCCCCCTATTGTCTTCCACAATGCCCGGGCTGTCACACGGACTGGGGAACAAGGGTCTTGCCCCGGATCCTTAATCCTGAGGAGCCCAGAGGGGAAGGCTCCCGCGTGGCTGCCCGCACCTATTCTGGACATCGATCATCCTCTTGGCATACGAGTAGCCAAAGTTGGAGCTGTGCGGAGGCCCGTTGTGAATCTGCAGGCAGGAGAGCACGGAGGCCATGCCAGGACCAGCCTGTCTCCCTGCGTTCGGCCACCCCAGGTGGCAGCAGTGGGGATAGGGCTTCTCACCATGCTCTCATCGATGGGATAGGTGGTCTTGTCCGGGAAGATGCAGGTGGAGAGGCAGGAGACGACCTTGCGCACGCCGCACTCATAGGCTGTGTGCAGGACGTTGTCGTTGATGTGGATGTTCCTCCTCTGCAGAGGGTGCAGAGGGTGACAGTGGCATCACAACCAGGCCAGCAGCTCCCCTGGTGACAGGGGAGGTCAGACGGGCACCCGGCGCCACACGTTCGCCCCCAGTCTCACCCAGAAATCCAGGTTGCAGCGGATGTTTTTGAAGAGGCCGCCAACCATAGCAGCCAAGTGGATCACGTGGGTGGGTTGGTGCTTCTCAAAGAGGGCCCGGGTCTCGGCGGCGCTCCTGCAGAGACGGAAGAGCTGTGGGCTCATGGGGGTGGCCAACGTGTTGGCCCAGTGCACCTTGCCCTGCTCCATCCTCACGTCAGGTCGGCATCCTTAAAGGACACAAAGATCCACTCCTCGTCTGCACGGCCCTCCCCATCGGCCACCACCTGCGCAATGGCCCTGCCCACCAAGCCGCTGCCACCTGTCACCAGGATGCGCGTGGGCCTCGGAACTGCCGCCTCCATCACGATCCCAAAACCTGCGGAAGAGCTGCAGGAAGAGGTGAGGAATCGCCAGCCTCCCTCTCCAAATCCCTTAAATGACCCTTTCCTAATCCTCCTACACCACAACGGTGGCACCACTCACACACCCAGCTCATCCAGGTGGAGAATATTTTAAGGAGGGTCCCTAAAATTGCCAAAGCAAAATCCCCCAAAATTTAGGAGGAAGGATTTTTTTTTTGCTGGATCTTACCTGCTTCCACCAGGTAAACAGAAAAACGGAAGCAGGGCCACGCGCAGAGGCTGCTGAGACCGCGGAAGTTATCGGGAGTGCGGCGGGACGCTGCCGCTCTGCCACGCGGCGCCGGACGCGCTGCCCGGCCTCCAGGAATGACGCGGAAGTGGGAAGGGGGTGGGATGGCGAGGTCAGATCTATTCCCCCCCGCGCCAGCCCCCCGTGGGTCTCAGAGCTGTGAGCAGACCCTCTGTGCCCACCCTCCTCCTTCTCATCCCACTGCTTCCCAGCCCTGGAACCCTCCAAGGAGCAGGCACCCGTGGACATGATCAGCTCCCGATCCTGAATCCCACAGCTGCACCCCCAATCTCCATCCAGCACCCTCAGATTCCAGCTCTGCACCCCCACAACGAGACCCCCCAAATCCCAGCTCTGCACCCCCCATTCCCCCCACGATCCCACATCCCAGCTCTGCAACCCCACACCTCCATCCGGGACCCCCAAAGCCCAGGCATCTGCACCCTCTCCGCTCTCCCAGGCCCCCC